TGTATATTTTAAAATACATCTGTTCTTTGTTATTGTGGAAAGTCTCTGACTTTTCTGTAATCGTAAACTGCCCTTTTCCTATATTTCAAAGACCATGAATACAAAATTTATACAGAAACCTCTAAAACATGGAAAGGTCATGTACTAGGCTCTCATCACGTCTTTTAGCTGAAAGAGGAATAATATGCTGAGGGTTTCTAGCCCAGGGAGTGGATAGTCACACCTGTGTGCTCTATTCCACATAAGCAAAGGCATTTCTGCCCTACCTATAGCTTCTCTTCCCTCCAAAAGAGGAGAGCTGCTAAGAAGCTCACTGAGAAAGTTGCTGGTTTGTATACAACTGTAAGTATGGATTTGTTGATTTCTTTTGAAAGGAGACTGAGGAAAAATAGAAGGGGTCTCCAACAGCTTTATTTACTGATAACTGAGCATATCCTTATTTGATAGCAGATGACCAATTCAACAATGAGTGACACTGAACAGCCCCTATCAATAGGCAAAGATATCAGTAGAGCAGAGAACAACAAGCACTTTTTGCAGGACAGTAAGAGTCCCTTTAAAGACTCATCTCTTGGTGCTGGAGCTTGGCTAAATCTGGCTCACCATTCTGTGAGTGGGAACAATCAGCTTTGTAGGTTGGAAGGAAATATTATAATTAAATGTCCACCCACTTTTTTCTTTCTTTTTTTGATGAAAGGCTCCCATGAAACTTACTAAAATAAGGTGCAAGAACACAGATGAATTTTTGATGAGTAAGTCAAAGCACTGCCGAAGCTGGCTCTTCACATAGAGAAACATTTTTAATTCACAGAACATTTTCAGGCCTAAATCATTAACACTGCCAGATCTAATAATAATTAATATGCTACAATCCATGAGATAAATTGGAAATTTTACTGGTGTAGTTGGTAGCAACTGTAGTGTCAGCATGGACTGATTTTTCTGAGAACAAAGTAAAATGTGATTCAAAAATAATAGTGGAGTTTTAAAATTAATTCTAGAGAAATATGTACTATTTATTATATGACTCTTCTAATAAATAATACATTTGTTGAATATAAGGACAATTATTCTTCTGAATAATAGTTGTATCACCACATTAAAGTTACAGATTATACCTCTAAGAGTGGGCAAAGTCCTTTAAAGATGCTGTTAAATTGTCACAAACTCCTGAGCAAAAATTTGGAGCAGGGTTTATAGTGCCTGCTCTTGACAATTAATGGCAAAGGCATCTGCTAAATCACTGTGAAGAAGAATTTTAAGGTACTATCCATGTGCAGTGGAGTAGGTAGGTACTCTACTAAATAATTGGACTCGGGCATATAATCCCAAGTACAGTTACAGAAATCCCCAAAGTCAAGTTTTTAGAGAGAATGAGAATTGTGTTGCTGTTAGGAATGTGTTCCTTCATTCAATACCGATTTATTTGGCACTACCTGTAAAGACTGCTATCGTTCAAGAAGGCTCGGGATGATAAAAGATAAAATACCCTAGTCACCAGATATTTTTGTTTTTAGATAAAATTAATATTTTAAACTTCCTGTTTAATAGGTATTTCTGATGAAAGCCAGTAGAGTTCCTGGCGCTCTAAGTGATTATGTGTGCAAGATCAAAGTACTCTGAAGAATAATTCAATGAGAACATTTGTCATTAATTGCTAATCACTAAGCGAAGATGACTTTCAAAATGCCAGCTTCTTGATTCCTGCTTCTCCTTCCCACTGTGGCATGGTGGATCAAAAAAAAATAAGGAGTAAGTTGGATGTTCAAAGTGGGAGCAGCTTTGCATAATAGCTACTTAGTTCATTACAACAAAATAAAATCAGTCATAAGGACCTAAGTTCTCCAATTATTGGTACTATGAATGATCATTTTATAATTTTATGCAAACTATATGATAATATAACAGGAGACCTAAGACATATCTCTGCTACAGAATAGGAATGTTCAAGTCTAATTATTGGCCAGTTTTCTCCTTATTTCCATTTTATTTTTCTCCAACATCCAAATGCTTTTGGTTTTCTACTTATTACCCATATAATTTTGTAATGGTTGGTCTTTTTTTGCTTTGGGTTCAGTTTTACCTTTTACAATTTTTTTTGTAAAAGTTATACATTAACCATTATCTAAAGTGTTTCTTTTAACAGCATGGAATTTTCTTCAAAGATCTATAGGAATTCTTTAAAAGTGAACTTTTTGTTTTTTCCTATTTAAGTGTTACTTCAACAAGTTCGCTGATTTTAGATTTCTCTGACAAACATATTGGAGGTATCAAAAACCAGACATGTTGAAAATAACTTTTTCTTGAAGTCATTTAGAACCTAAGACTTTCTGCCTTGCTATGTGAAATTGCCCAGCTTGGGAATAAGATGGGTATATGTGCATGTCTGTGCTAGAAAGGTAGTAGGAAGTGAGGATGGGGTGGGAGGAATGGTAAGTAATCTATAAGTGAACTCAGAATGTCTTCTGAAATAGATATGTATTTGCTCTCCTATTTCCGCAACTTCTATCTTGATGTTTGTAATGAATGAATGATCATTTTTCTCTATTGTTTTGGTTAGACATCTCCTTTCAAAAATAATTTTCCTGGGAGATAAATGGAATGTTCTTTTTGTTTACTTGTTGATAAGGAACACACTGTGGAAGTGATATACTTAAACATCATTTTCATTTTCTCCTATGGCTCTATCTCTTAGAAAAATAGAATTCTCTCATTTTAAAAAGTATTTGTTGGATCACAGAACTTTAGAAATTGGTAGTGGCCTTAGCTATTACCTTTTTAAAAAAAGCCTTTACTTTATAGATAAAGAAAATGAAGCCCAGAGAAGAGTCGTAGATTGAAGGTGGCCACAAATCCTTCGTCATTCCTTCCATTGAGAAGTGGAGTCTCATGCCCCACCTGCCGCCCCCTCCTTGTGTTTGGGCAGGCTTTATAATCGCTTTGACCAATGAAACCCAGAGGAACCCTGCCATTTTCTGTCCCTGGCCTTAAAAGCATGTCAGCTTCTTCTTCCTGGGTCTGGCTTGCTCTTAGCACTTCTCATCTCAGAATCATGTATTGGTGCTCCACTCCACACCCACAGCTAAGCTCCCAGAGGACAGCTAACATCACTTTCAGTTATGGGAATGTGCCATCTTGTATGTCTAGCCTAGTCAAACCTTTGAAGGACTACATTCTCAGCAAATCCTCTCCTGAAGATTATTACATTATATTATATTTATTATATTATATTATATTATTATATTATATTTAATAAACACATATATAATATATAATATATAATATATAATATATAATATATAATATATAATATATAATATATAATATATAATATATAATATATAATATATAATATAATATAATATATAATATAATACATAATATATAATATATAATATATAGTATATAGTATATAATATATACTTCTATATATATAATATTAGATATATATAATATATAACAGAAATATTATTTCTATTCCATAGGAATATTAAACTAAGAACATATTTTTAGTCAAAACTTTTACAAATCTCGGAGGCTACACTCAGCTGAGTCCCTATCATCACCTGCTCGCTCTGCGATGCTCTCTTACTTTGAACACTTTCCTGTTGAAATAGTTAAAAAATATTGGAGGAATGAAGATAAGAAGGAATAAATAAAAGCAGGTAAGTGATAAGTAATTGAACTTAAATTAGTTAAAAACTGCAAATCTGGAAATCAGCTGTGACTCTAATTAACTTGGTTTGGATTTTGTACCTTTATTTTTCATATTAGCCCAAGGAGAATTGTAACCTTGCCCTGTTTCATGGAATTCTTGACAAGTTCAAAGGACATGTCAAAATTGAAGGTGGAGAAGATTTAGGCCTGATGTGTTCTTAGCAATCAATTTATCAATTCCTTTCAATTTTGAGATGTGAAGACTGGGATTCAGAGAGCTTATGGTACAAGTGCTAGCCACATTAGACACTCCCTTTCCAGTGGACCCACAGTAAAGAGGTTGGTAAAGCCCTATATATTAGGATATGCTATATCGAAAGTTGTGATTCTAACCCAGATGATGACTATTTCTAACACAAGTTTACAAGCAATTTAGGCCCCCAAACACATAACCAGTTTAGGAAGGCATGACAGTCTAAACCTTTAATAACCAATATGTCATGGGCACTGACAATGATAATAGACACTAGCCTTAACAGCTGATACAGTCATACTGAAGGACACCAGCAGTGTCTCTCTCTGGTATACGGATGTGGTCAATGGCATTTATCCCTTCCTGCCACTGGTTCCCAGCCCTGTGAACACTGTCACATTACTGTGACTGCATTTTGATGCCCATAATACAATAGGTTCCATGATGTGTCTCCTGGGAATCACTTAGCCCCTCATGGTTCCTGAAACAATATGCTACCTTGTCTCCCAAATCATGGAGCATCTCAATGTTTTCAGTTTGTAAGTAGGAGAAATTAAGTTTTATCATCTCCTCTTGTTCCATCTAAGACATGAACCAGCTCAATAAACTATATTTAATTACTCTGGAACTCTCTACCCCTCCACATCCTACATTCTTGTTCTATAGTCACATTATATAGTGGAATATTCTTTGAAAGGCTGAAGGAGTAATACAGCCATGAAAATATGGTAGAAAATATTAGCACGAGATAGAATCTTTGATATTTTTAAATTATAATGGAAAAATATTTGTAAGGATAGAACGAAGTATCTGCATTTAACAAGCTTATTTGTGTAACTCTGAAAAAATATATACATTTAAAAGTATTGATTATAGCTTATAGTTCTTTCTAAATAAATTGTTCATTTTCCTAAGCAGTGGGGAATGGTTTATACAGTTTGGCATATATGCCTCTATATTACTTTGGCCCAACTCTGCTTTATTGGTAATAAAGGTTCTCAGACATTATTTAAGTATAATTTGACTGTAAATGAGGAATGAAGGCCTCATTCTCCCATACATAGAGTAGTTAAAATTATAGCACACTTACTTCTACAAGCCTGTTGGTGTGTTCACGAAATATCGCAGCATATTCCTTTATTTCCTTTTCCCGACCATTCTTGGCAGCTTCGATGAGAACCAAAAGTGGGACTGTCGTATCCAAAAAGGAGTCTGACACATGATCTATAATAGCCTTTCGGAGCTGAGAAGAAACAGAAAATCCATGCTTTTTTAAAAATTCAGGAAATAGTTCAGCTTATTTTGTAGTTTTACAATCTCAGTAGCTACAAAATTTTATATATATTTTTTGCACAATCCCAAAAGTCATATTTATGACTGTGTATGTATGTCACTTACAAAGCTAAAACAAGCCATATATTGGAGACAATATCATTGAGCAATAGCTCTCTTGCTCTCAAAAGTCACTGATTTTTCCTTTAGTTGTATTTACCCCAGAAGTTAGATTATAAGTGATAATACTTCATTTTTTCCTTCAAGAAATTGACCTATTATAATGTTTATGCACAGGTACAAACAACATTGTACATCATGTATTTTCATAATTACAAAATTATGAAATGTTTTCTACCTTATTGGAGGGACTGATAAATTTTGATTAGCTAAATTGCAGACTTCATGGTAATTAAACCAAGTTATTTCACTGATTATGCCAGTTGATAATAGATTAATAGAGCAAGGAGAATAATAAATGAGTGTGATGTCCAATTTTCTTCATTTGCATTAATTGTTCTAGCCCTCACACCTTAAATTATTAAACAAGTGTAACATTCTGCTACAATTAGTTCCTTTAAATTAGATTATGTATAAGCTTATAAATGACAATCAATGGCAATTACTGAACTCAACAGATAGTTCCAGAAATTTAAAACTGCATTAGAAAATTAATAAACAGAATTTATATAATATTGAAGCCTTAAGGATAACAATATCATGAAATGTTTCATTAATAATTTCAATGACTATGAATGGCCCCAGAGTTTTTTTTTTTTTATCACCTCCTCATTTACATTAATAATCTCTATACAATAAAACATAGAAGTGAATAGCTATTAAATAGGAAATTTGTAATTTGCCTTTTGTGAAAATTATATTTTAGGGTATTTTTTTAATCCAATAGACATTCAACCTAGTTTTGGATTACATGAGAGATAATAATACACTTTAAAGGGATCGAATGATGTAGCTACATAAAAAAGAGTATATTCTCTCTTTCATTCAGAAAAATGAATCCGTAATAATTATAGATTTCTGAGAGAAAAATGCCTCTGCCTAAGATAGTAGAACTTGCTCAGAACTGTGAAGTTTTCTGGCTACCAACAATTTCACAAAGACTGTAGGAAAACTTCTATTTAGTATGCAGAAAGGCAAATCACTGATAACAACTAATTAATATTTACTGAGCACTTACTAGGGCAGGGTGTAGAGTACTAAGGGGTTACAAGGCAAACAGTGTGAATGGCCAATGTATTTGACTTCCATGAAGAGTGAACCGAGGAAGTCAGCCAAGAAATCATAAGGCAGCACTTGAACTGGGAACTACGAGTAGTACTAGTTCCAGATACATAAAAGTAGAAGGAAACTCTCAGAAGGGGAACCGTTTTAAAGGGCAATTTCTCCCCTTCATCTTTTTCTTCTTTCATTTGTAACCAGGACATATGGAGGAGAGCAAAAGGATCAGCATTAAAGGTATGCAATTGAAAGCCATCAAACATATGGGAGGCAATTTAAGCCAAGGACAAGATCATAGAGAGAGATACAGGGAGAAGTCAGAAAATAAAATTCTAGGAAATCATAACATTTGCCTGGCTGGTGTGGCTCAGTGGTTGAGCATCCACCTATGGGGCAGGAGGGCACAGGGGTTTGATTCCCAGACAGGGCACATGCTTGGGTTGCAGGCTTGATCCCCAGCAGGATGCAGCCAATCAATGATTTTCTATCATCATTGATGTTTCTATCTTTCTCTCCCTCTCCCTTCTTCTCTGAAATCAATAAAAATATATATTTTTTAAAAAAAAAAAAATAGTATCATTTGTGGGAGTCATCCAGATGGAAGAGTAAAACCTAAAAAAAGAGACTGGGATGATGAGAGCAAATGGCCAAAAAACTAAAGGAGAAACTTTAAAAAAAAAAATTATTGTTGACACTCTTACAGATGTCCACAATCCTCAAACCCTTTGCCCACCTCCACCCATCCCTAACCCTGTTTGTGTCCATGGCCTAATCAAAGAGCATATAAAGGAGAAACTTTCAAATAAATCTCCGTGTCAGTGCTCTTCAGATAAACTTACTGTACCAAACACAACTATAATACCTACATTATGAACTTGTTGAGGCTTCTTTTCTATTTGATTCAATTCAACAGATATACTGAACACCATTCTTTAGATTTCTACCAAGAGCAAGGTTGTAAAAAAATGTCAAGGTGGAATTGCATGTTTCTTTATAATCCAGTGGGAAAGTGAGTCATTAAATATTATAATAAAGGAAACTAACTAGGAGACTGGCAGCAAGGAGATTTCAAAAGATAATAGGTTTCCAAATCTAATTTTAAAGATAAGTTAAATGAAAATAACCAAGACTTGTCTATTAGATTGGATCACTAGCAGGTTAACTGCTGAAACCTTAGTCAGCATAATCCTGGAAAAGTAGGAGCAGGAGTCCTTTTGCTATGATTTAAAGAATAGATGGGAGACAAACAAGAATAAACATAGTTTTAGTAATTTAGGACATGAAGAAGCAATACGTGGTATCAACTATATCAAGACAGTTTTAAAAAGGGAGTGTTTCTCATATAAAAGACTTCGATGTTTTTCCCATCTACTACTGTACACAGGAAGTCAAATTGTCCTCTTATGCTTTAAAAAGCATTTTTAAAGCATAAGAGGACACATTTTTTATCTATCATCATACAAAAAATCTAAATAGATGGAAATAACAATTGTGGCACATTGTGCCAAGTTTTGTAAACACTTAAATAGTTATAGCAATCTTTTTCCAGTGCTGCATCTGTTTGCTATGGTCTGTTCCTCTGTGATACTACCTTTTGTCTTACCTTCATTTTAATGGTCTTTACTCCCTGTTCTATTTTTTTTTAATTATTTTTTAAGGTTTCAATTATATTTTCCCAGATATTAAATAAATTCTTTTTTCCAAACACAAGTGTTAAAATACATTACAAATGTGAGATTCAAGGCACAGCCAATTTACTGTTAATTACAGAATAAATAAATTAACTATTTGGCTAAATTATTTTTTTTTAATATTAAACCAAATTAGGAGCAATTGTGGGGTATTTGTTTGTTTGTTTGTTTTTTGCATTTTGTAAAGCATGTTGCTAACTACATAACACATTAAATGAGAAAAGATGTACCACGTATGTGTGGTATTATGTTCAGTAGGACAAGACTAGGACTGGAAAATGAGCTTCCAAATAATTCTATGCCAATGTCTTCAAAATTTTGTTGGAAAATAGGCTAAAATGATCTGACATAATATAATGTCAAATATAATGAGCTCAATAAATCTTCTGTTCTGTAATTGTACATTTATTCAAGTTAACAAATGCATTTTGAGCTGCCTACGGGCAAGGCACCCTTCTAGGAAACCTGAGGAATGCTGGGGTGAAAAAGACAGGGTAACTATTAGGGAATTAGAAATGCACAAAGAGTTTGATGAGTACCTTTAAAAAAATGAATGAGAAAATGTACAATGATTGTCATGGTGAACAAGGCTTTATATGAACTACATGTATCCCATTTTAAAAGCTGAATAGGAAGTAGGAAATACAACATCCTAGGAACAGAGACTATAATAAGCAAAGAAAATAGAAGGATCCTCAGAGTATCGTAAGTACTTAGTGTTACCAAGACATACTGGTAGATCGAGGATTGAAATAAGATCTCAATGAGTATAATAAAGGTAATGGAAAATTTTGTAGCAAAAAAGAAGAAGAAAAACACAAATTAAGACAAAAAGAATAAAATATAACAATAAAATGGACATAAATTTGTGGCTTGTGCTAGACATGAATGATGCCTTTAAGAGGTAGCACACAGTTAGCAGGCAGGAAAATATCTTTTGTTTGGAGAGCATCTTAGGCCATGCAAATAATAAACAGCACAATTAATGCAATCAAACCATAATGTTCTCACTGCATCATCTATCTTGCTGATTCCTGGTCATTTACTAGTAGCATCACATTCACAGCTATGATTAGGGACTACAGGAGAGGCTTTTGCTGCTTTACCTCTCATCCTCTGGACCTGTCTCTGATTTCAGCTCTTGCTGTGGGGAACAGACCCAAGTCCTCCAAAGACATCCCACCTTGAGTGCGTTCCATGCTTCTCTGTGTTGTTCTTTCTCGGGGCCTGCTCCAAGCCTCTGTAAGATTCTCAGCCCAAGTACAAATGGGCTGGAAGTTCTGAAGAGTCAATGCCACTGGGAGCACCCTTCAGCCAATGGGGAAGGGAGCTGCTGGATAAAATCCCAGCCTCCCTCCATGGGTCAGGCAATCCTGGAAGGCATTATATGCCTTCTCAGAGGCCCTTAAGCTCCTGTTGCCTATGGTGGCAACCTCAATAGCATATCTTTTCTCCTTCCTTATCTGTCCTCTTACACTTCATGGTCTCATACACTCACTTCTTGGTTTCACTTCCCAAATAAAAGGCCTGTAGTAAGGCCCCAGTCTCAGGATCTGCTTTCTGAAGAATTCAATATAAAATTGACATGTTTACCTGGTGTTAATGTTGTTTGGTTACATACCAAGTAGCTGACTCCAGTGTTTTACATAAACTACCCAATGACAATCACACTTTGCCACTTCTGCTTTGCACACCACTGGGTTTGATTCTGCCCTTGGATATGAGGACTGTGAAAGAGGAATTATTATAAGATGGAACTAGAAACACATATTAGGGACAAGACAGAAGGCCTGGTATGCTATGCTAAGTAATTTTCTTTTATGTTCTAACATATCCATATGGGATATTTTTCACTTCAATTGCACTATCATTTATGCCTATATAAATACCTAGGCAGCTCTATCTTATTTATTTCCGTAGTATTTTTCTGTCTAATGGAATAACTCATTCCTTTCACTTAGGTGATAGACAAAAGCTTTAAAGAAGAATCCCATGTAGAAATGAGAAAACCTTAGAAGCTGCAATACTAAGATTTGAAGTAAGTGGGAGGCCAACAGAAGTTAAAGGTATATGTATTTTTTAATAAATACCTGTATGAAAGATGTCAGGCACAAAATCAAACTGAGGGGCTTTCCATCTTTCTCACTACAATTTAATAAAAGGATTTGAGACATCAATTTTTCTATCTCCCACTGAGGTAAGTGGTTTGGGATCTCAAATAAAAAAATAATATATTTCTCTACAATCAAAACCCCAAAGTGAAAGCTGTATGAGAAAACTGTAAGAAAGCCCAGCCCCAAACAGCCCACCACCACCAAATGAGGAAACAGAGAGAATGAAACCGCCAGGGACAGAGGAAAGAAGAGAAAGTATTTTAGAAAAGAAATCCTTAGGGAACTAGGACAATTTATATTTGTGCATGTTAATGGCATTTTAATTTTAAATCAAATAGTAAGATATAACTTTCAAAACTCAATTGACTAATAGGAACTAAATTAGCTAACAATTAATTCAGCATATACATACTTTGTCAATTTAATGGGACTTGTATCTTATGGATGCTTAATATTATTTGATGATAATGATGAAAAGGAGGTATAAATCCTCCACATTTTTTTCTGACTGTCGCACTAGTACTAACAACATGAAGAAGAGATGAATATAGCAAGTTAGCAATTCAGCAACTAAAGAATTGATCAAGTTATAATTTTGTGGGTTTTTTTTTTCTTTTTACCAGAATTCTGTCTTATTTGACATATTGTAAGTGCTTTCTTTGGCATTTAAGAAATAAGTTTTTTTTCTCAATATATACACATAACATTTTTAACTTGCCTTTAATGAAAGTAAATGTATGTTTCACTGTGAATAATACAATAGATGTGGAATAAATTCATTATTTTAAAATTTTAAGAAAATAAAGGTTTAAAAATCTTCTTCCCCTATTAAGAATTTCAATAGGTATGTATTTCTCAAATAAATAATGGGAAAGAAGACTGAATGAAGAATAATATTTAAATTATAAAAACATGTCAAATAAGAAAAAATAATTTATGGAAGTAAAATCAGGGTATTAGTCTCTGGAAGTTCTGTAGATGAACTTACAAATTAGAGTGAGGTTGAACAGATGTGAGCTCAAATATTGGCTCTACAAGGTAGTTGGTTGATGTTTGCAAATTGACTCACCAGAGGAATAAAGATAATACTATGGCATTATTTCTTGTTTTAGGGATAAAAATAAATAATTTAAGGACTACAGTTGATAGAGAGCTTTGGAAAGCATTTATTAAATGAGCTATATCCTAACTATCATTTTAACGATTCAAAATTCAGTGGGAAGAGAAATACTGGCTAAATATGACCACTGCTATAATAGAATACCACATGCTCTGAGTGCTCTGAGAAGAAAAAGATTAATTCCAGCCGGTAAAAATGCAAAGGTTTCATTGGAGAAATAGTATTTATGTTTCTCTTGAACTCCCTCAGTGGATAAGGGGTTAGGTAGGGGAAATAGGAGGAGCCAGGAAGGCACCAAGTTGAATAAGCCATATATTCAAATACACATGTGTGTTTGGGGGGTGGAGAAAAAGGTGATGGAAAACCTGGTGAGAAGTCAGGAGACTTTTCAGTCAGTGAACAGGTTAATGTGCTGCTGTGGTAGGAAGAAGAATGGAGAAAGTGAGTGGAAGGGGAAAGAACATTAAGAATTATGGCGTTTAAATTGGAGCCAAATTACAGAGAATCTGGAACACCATGCCAAAGACTTTTGTCTTTGTTCTCAAGTCACAGAGCAAGAGGGTTGAAACAAATAAACACTAAGTCACCTCCTCTGACATTTCATCTTGTTGACCCAAAATGTATAATTTGCTTCTCCCTGGATATGTCTAAACAATTTATCTCATTCCTCACAGAAGAAATTCAATGATTCTTTGAACCAAAGTTAAAACATTTCTATGTTGCTGATTGACAAGTCATGGGTAAGCAAGGGGAGTAGGATGAGTGGGCAGAACGATGGATTCTGTTTTATTTTTTTTACTAAAAACTAACACAATCTATAACAAGAGATGAACATTAAATATTCTAAAGAAAAACATTTCAAGGGTAGTAGCTTTCTCCTTCCTGTGTGAAAGAGTTAAGATGCTTAAAGCACACTGCTGGATAAATTTTGCAAGAAGAAGAAGAGGTGGAGATGACTCACATTTCTGTTTAAACTCGTTTTTATTTTTTCCCTGAAGCCAAACATCAGGATAAAAAGTGAGGTCCTGGGAGGGAAAATAAGGACACTGAGAATGAATCAGAGCAACTACTTCACTGACATTGAAGACCATGGATGTGTCTAAAGACCATCCCTTCCTATGTACTCATGCCACTTCTCCCATGAGACATATTGCTTCTCCTTGCTCCTGTTCACCTCGGGCAGGTTGATGACTATTTTAATCTACATCATGTGGAGGAAACAACATTCTAGTGACTTTGGAGCTTAGGCATTAAGAAGCACTGAAACATCATGTAAGAAGTCCAGGTTTCCCTGCTGAAGCCACAGAAGAAAGCCTAGGAGAAAAGAAACTACATTGAAAGAGGAAAGAAGAGGCACTGAGGTCTTAAGTACCCAGCTCTGAGCACAGACACAGCCACCATTTGACTTCCACTGCATGGGAGGCCACAGTAAAAACACCATGGAACTGGCCTTGCTGACCCCAAGCCACTCTGTGGAATCGTGAACATAATAAAATGGTTGCTATCAATTGTGGTGGTCTGTTCAGCAGCAATACTTACCCAAAGCAATGAGGATGTTGACCTGTGAAACCTCAAGAAATTTTCATACCTCTGGAACACAGTAGTTCTCTACAAGCTGGGGACATTTCCTTTCTATGAGAAAGATTATAGTAGGTCCTCAGATTACGTCAGGGATCCGTTCCAATGGCAATGTAATGCGATTTTTGCCATTAGTTGGAACCCACCTACGTAAGCACCTAGGTCACTCACATGGAGCACATACACAGTAGTGATGAAGTGACACAGTCAAATAAATTTAAAAGAAAGAGAACAATTCCTGACCATTACTTGTGGTAAATAAATAATAAAAAACATAAATCACGTATGTGCATATGTCAAAATGACGGGACTTTCTTTTTTTTATAAATAAATGGGAGATGGCAACGTAACAACAAAGCAACATACATTGAGTCCGACATAGTTGGTCCGAAGGTTGTGGGTTATTATTAAGCTCATTGAGTCCGACATAACCGGAGGACTACCTGTATTAGTAACCCTCACACTCTTTCTATATTTTACTGACACTAGTGAGGTAGAAATTCAAGCAGGATTATAAGATAAAATATAAGATTCCTGGTTAAATTTGAATTTCAGATAAACACAACTATTTTTTTATGTAATTGTGTCCCATGCAATATTTGGGATACATTTATACTAAAATATGTTTGTTGTTAATCTGAAATTCAAACTTATCTAGGCATCCTGTGTTTTTATTTGTTAAATCTGATCACTCTACATGCAAAGAATTCCTTTATCTTGATAATAAATGTAGATTAACTCTTAGTGCATGACTTCATTGAAGGCATAGAGGAATGAAAGATAAAATTTCTGATAGCTCCTAGAACTTTTCCAAGTCTTAGAATGAGAAAGTGGGGTAGAAATCCTGAAGAAGACTGAAAATAGAAGCCAAGCAACCAACAGGGAGGATGGCTCTGTGGTTCACAGTACCTGAGTCCAGTGTAGACCCTGACCTGGTGTAGGTGCAATGTCCCTTCCTCTTTAGAGATCACCTGGCCACACTGGCCTGCTTTCTCATCTACATCTTAAGACAGGTTGTGCTATGTTCCTTCCTGCTCTTTAATTCCATAATTCTGAGTGCTGACAGTAGAAACAGAATTCACATTAAAGCTATAAAGTTGAGATTTTGGACTTTTCCCAGGCTTCAAAATTGTGTTTTACACAGCTAATATTAACTGGCTGGAGATCCATATTTATTCCTTTTCCAAATCTATTTCTGGATTAAAAGATTGCTCAGGTCATTTTTTACTAAATCTTCCCATTAAACTACAATAAAATATTGCATTAAAAGCTTAGGATGGAAAGCTTCTGGCCCTCTTTTATGAGTTAATGGTGACCAAATTAGCATTGTGCATGAAAAAAAGAACTCTGGTTTTTAAGTGGAAAGGAATGGAAAGCAAGTGTCTAAAAGAAATAGCAACATCTTCATATTTCTGGAGAAAAAAATAATTTGTGGCATTATACTGCACTTCTCAATTACAGAATGAAATCCTTTCTAATCCTAGGCTCCTGATAACCCAAGTTTGAAAAATAGCCTTAACTTAAACAGAAACTCACTTGTGGTGCATCCTGAAAAGATCTGGAAAGAGTGACTAGCTGTTTGCTGTAAGCATGTGGATGATAAACTCAGTTTCTAACATAATCGATCAATACACCAACCTTCTCTAAAAACTGGCTATATACAAGTCCCTGATAGGAATTTCATTTAATCATCACAGCCCTATTGTGCATTATTTATTCCATTTTATAGGTTCAGAGCAGCTCCAAGAGATAAAATCTGTCCCCAAGATCACACAGCTGATGAAAGTAGAGTCAGCATGCAAATGTAACTCTGACTAATAAGTCACACACTTTTTTCCTCCCTTATGTTTGTCACAAAAACAGCTGAGGTATATGAACACAGAATGGGTATATTTATTGTTCTTATTTTGTGTTCTAAATTAATTTTAAAAGAACAAAACAAGATATAAATATTCCAGCAATGGAAAAAGGGCTCATTTTGCATGTTGTTTCTGTCTCCATGTCCCTCTCCTTCCTTACCTGCCTTCGAAGGTCTCTTGTCTTCTTGCACATGTTGTCTATTGCAATATTCAGGGTATTACTTCTTTCCTTTTTTCCAGTCTGCAAGGAAGAAAAAATGACATAAGTAATGATATGAAATTACTCTTTAGCATTTAACAATTTGCTTTCTAAATTTTCTGAAAATAACAGCTTGAAAATTCAAGAATAGGTTTAAAACTCGCTAAGATATTGCATATGATTCATAAGACTAAGGAGAACGGTGATTAAAACTCACATTATTTTCTTCTTTAAGCTTCTGTAATAGGTCTGATATATGGTTGGGTTTCATTCATTGTGGCAGTAGGCAGAGCATTACCTTTAAAAACTGATCTTCATATCAACTTTTTAACTGCTAAGCACACCATTAACTTAAAAGCATGAGAAGCCCAAATTGTCAACTTCTGTAGGAGTTTCTGAAGTCATTTTCATGGTGTATTGTGTAAGTTATGCAGAACTATCCTGGAGTTTTGCTAAATACTAAATAAAATATGCAGTGCAAATTCATACAATTTGCAGAAGTTGACCACAATTTCAGCTGACAATATTCCAAGAACAAACTGTTTCAAGTTCTTAAGAACTGGAAACCGTTTTTGGCTCTTTAAGATAATTTGTGCAATACCTATTCGTTCTTTAAGCAGAACAATTCTCTGTTATATCCTTAACCTAAATCTTCAGGCAATAAGTACATGGAGAGTCACCTTGGTTGGTATTTTCTACATATTACTTTTGTGGGAGACAATCGAAATTGAATCTAATAATACTTTCTTCAGCCATATCTTGTATAAAAGAGATTGAGAAAAATTACTATGTGATTCACCTCTAGAAAATTGCTACTATTTAAATTAATAAACTGAAAGGGCTTTTGAGAGGAGACCTTGAACATCAGGAAGGCAAGTTTAAGCAGCTGATAAACTGATGAAATTTATAGCATGGACTTCAGAAAGGACATTGAGGCAAAGTGTAGACCAGGAGGCAGGATGCTATATTCTACCTCCAATACATAAGTCCACACCATCAACTGGAAGGACTTCTTTACAGGAAGTTCAAGGCCATCTATACTCTATCCTAACCTATCTTTTTAGTCTTATCTTCCACCACATATTCTTAAGTTCTGTCCTTTATAGTAATAATATTCCAATATTTTTCTATGTCTCTTTTCCATGTTCTTTCACATAATGTACCTTTGACCTCAGCAAGTGTCTCTTCAAATAGCATGCTATTAAAATCCTACCTGTTCTCCAATGGTTTTGACAAAGACTTTCCAGCACTCACTCAAAAGCAAATGCTCACCTGTTCTTGTTCCCATAGCATTTTGAATATTTCCCAATATGCTCATTTTGTTTCTGTGCATAATCATACCTTTACAAAACTGTTAGGATCATGATGTTGGCAATGTGTTTTTTGTTTGTTTGTTTTTTATAATTCAGACAGTAACTTGTATAGGACTCATTGAATGATATTGACTAGTTTGTAAATGAACAACTTGATTCAAAACACAGTGCAGTTTTATTAGGGGCCTATTATATGCCAGGAAGGTGTCCTACTAAATTCTGGAGAAGACTTTAATATCTACCTACCAAAGCACAATTAAAATTCTCAATTGGCTGAGGTTGCTGGTACCCATCTAAACCTTAATTAGATCTAGATTTTTCTCAGCAACAGTGTTACTGATATACAAGATAGGGAAAATCACCACAATTTGAGGCCACACTCTATACACTGTAGGATGTTTGGCATCCATGCACCCCTATCAACCAAAACCTACCAGTAATTCCCAGGCACTATGATAGCAAAGTTTGACCCACACATTTCCAGATGCCTCCTACGGGGAGACACTGTAGGGAACTACTATGTTCTTGAACACGTTTTATTTTTAAAAGAAAGTGTGAAATGTGTGCATGATGGAGATTGTGTCCAGTGAAGAAACAGGGAAGAAGATAAAGAGGCAGATGAGTAAAATTCTGGGTGTTGAAATAAGAACAGCAACAGTGACAATTACTCAGATAAAAGTATTGCTACAGCTCCATCCAGAATTATGCATAGTAGCAGTGGAAAACTGTGACAATCTAATGTAGGGCTATACAAGGCAATGGCATACACAGATAAACAATGGTATATAAGACAATTATTAATAATTATTAATTTCACCTAAAGAACTTAGCTCTGATTCTCCAGTTCCATGCACTGCTAGCTCTTGGTTGTGTCTCTTTCCACATCATGAAATTAAAGATAGTCAAAAGAGGCAGGAGTGCACACACACACACACACACACACACACACACACACACGGTATCAGGAATAATATGTGTGACTTCTGCTGTGTTGGCCATAAAAACTCACTAGCTTCTGCAATATGATTCATCAGAACAACTACAAAATGCCAGCCTTCTCAGAGAGAGCAGCAGTGGCATGCAGGCTTTAATAAAGAATAATAGGAGGTGACAGCATGAAAAGATTCAAAGTGGACTATAAAGATGATTTCTTAATTTCTACCCAGCGCTTAATCTTAGTTTAAAATGTTTCATTGGGTCAAAGGCATTTTGTTCTCTAGGTAATAATAAACAGTCCCTGTCATGATAGGAAGTAAAAAATCTTCCTTCTTTCTTCCTTTCCTCTCTCTCCTTCTCCCCATCTTTCTTCTTTTTCCACCTCCAGCTTTTTTATTGGGTTCTTGCTCTATTTATCCAGATTTATTGGGCTTCCATCAAGCCATTGTATGCTTTTATTCCTTTTGCATGGCATAAAAATAAATAAAGCAAGGAGAAATAGCCCCATCCTGCTTAAAAGCCCTCATTCCTTCTGTTTTCAAAGCCTTAACAAATCATCAAGCAATGAGCTAGGGCTGAAGGTAAATTGTGTGTGCTGAGGTAAGGGATGGAAAGGGCAGGATATTGAGACACAACACAGATAACAAACAGAGCCTCTCTACATCCCAAGTACTCATCAGAGAGGATGCTCCTTAAAGAAAGCCTTGACAGGAGCCATCATTAAGTCAGCACAGTCCTGCTAACGGAAAAGGTGCCACATACAGTGGAAAGTCTGTGGGAAAGCTGCTGAGAAAATATGGCATGGACCAGCACTATATAGAGAAAGCAATCACATAATTTATCAGTAAATAAACTGCCAGGAAAGATTTTATGAAAAAGAACAGTTTTGAGCATAAATTCATTCAATAAAATTTTATTCAAATTATTATTGTATATTATAAATAATGCCCCAATGTTATTGGGGCTTATAATTTTTACTATGTGTCTTTCCATCAATTCTGCCTCACCATTGCTCTCATGTCACTGCTACAGTTAATTGCACTCTCTTATATGGTTCCCTTGAAGCTGCCCACACCTTTAGAAAAAGTCTAATTATAAATAAACTCTCTTTGAATTATCCTAATTTGAGTGTTCCATCTGTTTCCTATTGGGACTCTGTTGGGGGGAACTTCCTGTACTACGTTGTCCAAAATGGTAGCCACTAACTCACATATGGCTATTTAAATTTAAATTTTAATTAATTAAAAATTCAATTCATCAGTCCTTAATTTAAAGTGAGCATTAGGTACATGTGCACATGTATACAGCAAAAATATAAGACATTTCTCTCATCTTAGAAAAATTATACAGCATTATTTAAAAATACCTTTTTTATTTCAATTGTATAATTGTATACCTTTATACAAGCTATACTTTATTTGAGAATAAAATAGCAATAAACAAACACAAAATCCCAACCCTCCAGGGTGTTTACTCTCTAGTAAACATGAGATCTAATTATGACCATTCTTTGTTCTGAAGCACTTTGTTCTATTTCCATTGTCGATGGAATTAAGAACAAACTCTTGATCATGGTGATCAAAGTGCCACATGATCTACTCCCAATTTTACTCATCAATAATTAATGAAACAATAGAATGGGTCCCTTATTTTCTAGGCAGTAAAATAACAACTCAGGAATGGTGCTCCTGGAAAAACCTCATTTTGCATTCTTATCTTCTTTTTGGAGTATGGATTTTTTTTTTTAATATTAAACTCAACTATCAAATTTTATATGGGTTTTTTTTTATCTTCTCAGTTGGAATTCACTATTCTCTTCTATGATACCTTCCTAAACGTTTTTATATTTCTTTTATAACATTGGGTTCAATAAACAGTTCAATCTACTTAAGAAATCTCTATTATCTACTATATGCCAGGCACTATACTAAGAACCAATGATGCATTAGATCTAGTGCCTGCCTTTAAAGAATATACATCTAATGGTAGAAACAGACATCAACACAGTATTAGTAGAGGTACCAAGGGTAACATATGGATCAGTGGGAGTAGCCACACATGTCCGCCCCCCCCCCCCCCCGCAATTAAGGATGAAGGTATCAATTGAGTATTGAAGGATATGTTGAAGTCAACCAAGAGAGGCAGACAGGGAACTCCACTTTATGGAGACAGGAATAGCTTTAGCAATGGCCAAAGTTCTTCGTGAGTATAAAAACTATAAGGGGAAGCAAAACGTTGGAGATTTTATCATATTAAAAAATGAGGTTGAGAATTTAGGCAATTGGGAGTCATTGAAGTTAAGCAGATGAGCAACCCAGGCTAATCATTATTTTAAATCATTGACCTGGCCAGAGTCTGCACAATATATTTGAGGAGATTAACAGAAACTTGCAAAAGAGTTTGATTATTGCAGTGGCAGTCTTAACTCTTTATAACTAAACTACATGGGATGATAACTGGCAGGCTCTGGGAGTTGGAGAAAAGAGCACAATCTAAGCTGGTGCCCAGCTTTCCAGCAGTGATGATGGGCTAGACAGATGATGGCACTTGAAACTGAGATGGTCATTTCAGAGAGAAAACCAGGTCAAATGAGGATGAGGATTTCAGTTTTAGAATTTCTGAAAAGCCTGTGGAGAGCTCCCTTCATTAGTCTTTGTCCTGGGGCCAATTGCTTATCCTCATGCATTTCTCCCAATAGTTTAAGATCCTTGAGGGAAACTTCTTACATATAATTTGTACCACGTGGTATCTAGCACCAGGCTTTGTACATAATAGGAGCTCAAAGGTTATTTG